CCCCTTCATCCTGGTTGGGTGGTCTATAACAGACTCCCAGCAGGATATCTGCCTCGTTGGCCTTCCCCCTCATCCTTACCCATAAACACTCAACCGTACCATCATCACAATTGTTGAGCTCTATACAATCAAAACACTCCCTAACATACAGGGCCAAAATCTCCCCTTGCTTCCTAACACACATCTGAGGCTCTGGGTATTAAAGTAAGGTATGGTAGTGTTAAGGAAGTTGTCTTCTGGATGCACAGCTAGCTGCCTGAGGGGCACAAGGGAGTTAATGTTTTAGGGACACGCTTTTAACCCAATCTGACCATTTAAAAGGCTCATTCTCCTCCCTTGCACACTCTGCTCAGACTTAATCCCATCCAACATGCCCCTACAAGTCCTTCCTAACTTATTGTTCCACTCACCTTCTTTCAGATCCTTCCTTTTGTCTGGCTTCCCCAGCAGAGCTCACATACACTGGAAGATAGCCAGTAAGTCTTGAAGTGAGCTAGGATGAAGTATGGTTCCCTAAAAATTGGAGGGCTCATCTTTTTCAGTGCCCAACTCCCATGGAAGCTGGTTTGGGAAGTAAATGCCTATGTGTCTTTGTGAAGGAGTCCCCAAGTTCCTCAGCAAAAGACAAAGGCAGATGCCTGGGAGGCACAGAGAAAGGTTTGATTTGTAGATTCTGGGGAATTGGATGTCCTGCAGGTATTGGTACTCCATTAATGTACTTAGTACTTGACTGTTAATAAGGACATCATGAAGGATAACTAGCAACAACAGTGTCTGCCCTGAGGTAGCACCCAGTGCCTACCCAAGTGCTGCCTTTTGCCAGCTGCTGTAGAGGTAATAAATCAGTCAAGGGATGTCAAAGTTCAGTTTCCAGGGGGAAATAATGATTTTACTCAAAAGTGGAATGTGCCTGCCTTAATAAGGGACACTTAGGAGCATGGGATCTCTTCTCTATACTCTGTCACTTCCTTCCATGTGCTGATGTACCCTTTTTTCTAAAAGCTACCAACCCTCACTGGATCAATGAGGCCTGATCAATTGTTTTTCCCTCTGAATTATCCATATGGGGTCGTTAGCTGAGCTGCTGGCAGAAAGTGAGAGACAGCTTTCTGTCTGTTTACTGTAAAGAAAGCAAAGCAAGCTACAGGAGGGGACAGGCTGCAGGATATTTACTGTCAATACAGCCGGAGAGAGAGAGGAGATATAAGGAGAGGGGAGCAGAGGCTGCAGACTTGCAACCCAAATGAATGATCTGAGTGTAAAAATACCCATGCAGTTTCAGACGGAAAGTGGGTGGATTGAAGTCAACAAGGGATAGCTGAGAGTCTTTAACAAATGGTTTAGTGTAGGGCTAGTGAAGCAGGGAAGTACTTGTGGCACACAGAATAATAATGCTGTGCATGAGCACATTGAATCTGCAGTGCAATCTGAAAGGCACTTCCAGATCTGCCCTGAGACAGAGCAGTAGCTGGGATACTTTTGTGTGTGCCTGCATGCAAGACCCACCATTTAAAAGTAATAAGATGAATCATAATGATTGAACTTAGAAAATAATTGGAGCTAGTTTTCCAAAGCAGCTGGATGTCACCATTGTAACTCAGACCAGAAAAATTTTTTTAAAAAACAAGCATACTTCCTTGCTTCTCTCTCCTCTTCTTCATCCACAGAGGAATTAGGTGACCTGAGCTTCACAGGGCAAGAAGGCTCTGAGTAGTTCGCTCTGAGTGTCCCTCTACTTCCAGAGGCAGGTGAACGAGTGAAGAGTGAATTCACACTTTAGAGAGCAGCGAAGACCATCTTGCCATGAAACCATTTGCAGATGAAGATGTAGAAATCTACATCCAGAGCAAGGTAAGGCTTTATCTGTCCAGATTTTCTGTCTCTCACACTAGGTGTTGATTCTGAAGTGTGCCAAACTTGACAGTTCGTTGCTTGCCTGCTGTCTTCATTTCTGAGACAAGACTGGGTGAAGTTTCATGAGAACTGTATTTCTAATGAGATTTCTAGGTTTCTGTTGCAGAATGTTATCAGGGATCTCAGCTGGTAGCCTAATTTTTTCAAGGTGCTTGTCCTCTTCTGCAGATGTCCTGAATTTTTCCTCCCGATCTGGAATTCCAAATGTGAGACTAGCTGTAATTGTCAGCATTTAATCTAAGGAAAGGTCCTTGCCTCTCTCCTTATCCAGTGGTCTTGGCTTGGCAGAAACAAGACCGAAACCACACCAGGCATTGCCTCTAAGAAAGTTGCATGTAGGAACTAGAGAGAGAGACAGATATTGTTAGAATTCACCCATCGGTTTGTCACCTCAGCTAAGGATACTTATCTATATACCGTGATTAAAATAACATGCCTCACTAGCACATGCAGGCTGGAACCACATTTTCTACTTTATGAGATATTCCAGCACTCAATTTTTTTTTTTCCCATTATGAAATGAAGTAAAACAGAATAAAATCACAATGAAACAATACTGTTTAATAAAAGTAACTAAGTGAGCCATAACATTTTTTAAAGCTGACATGTTTCATCACAGTACTTAGCTAGTTCCTATTTTATAGGCTGCTTTCCCCAACAAAATGCAAGACGCTAAAGTGAAAAATCATTTCAAAATGGAAAACTGAAGGCTTTCTTTTCTGTAAAGGATGAAATATTCTAGTACCGTGAAGGGGCTGGTAAGAAAAGTTTGTTTTCTCTATGGAAATGTTTTGGTGACAAGTAGGTGTATTTCTGTGAGAACTTTCATTTTAAGCCATGCAGTGTTGTGCACTGGAAAATCATTTCATGAGAATCTGTTCAGTGAGCTATAATAGTGGACACTTCTCTGAAGATATATAAAGCGGAGCTACAAAGGAGGGAACAGAGGGAAGCCATGCACAGGAAGATGCTCATATGACTGCCATAGGTACAAAGAACAGATGCAGAGTGTATTTAAGTGAGGCTCATAGTTGCCAATATTTTAGGTTCTACTGAAAGTCTGTTTTCTAGAGCCTTCCATGGCTGGATTCCTAGTTTCTGCCTGCTCCTGAGTATCCTGTCCAAGTGAGGCTGCCTAACCTTCAGGCAGCCCCAGTTCTGCTTGTCAAATGCTGCCTGTTTTTGAAAATAGGTCAACCACCTGGTGCAATGAATCTCTATAATACCAAAGATTTCTTCCTTAAGCCACTCAGCAAAGGAAAAACTCAAGTGCATATGGAGTGGATGTGACTGGGTAAATAAGAACAAACCCAAATGTTCTTAACAATCCCCAGTAAATCCTAGTCCTGCTTCCTTCCTCCATAATAAAACCTTAATTGACCTTATTGTTCTGGTTTTGTGCATTTGTTTTGTCATGATTTCCAAAGTTAAGATGTGGTAAGGGGAATGCCAGTAGGTGGTAGAAGTGGCTGTCCAACAAAGAGCTTATTCTGTCTCTTCGCCCAACATGTCTGTGCTGGCACTAAAGACACCTTAGATAAATGCCTTGGCTCTTCAGAAGCTGCATTCACTCACTCATGTTCTGTCTTCTGATTTTTATGCCTTCCCTTCTGTAGGAAGGTTTTATCTTCCAATAGCGTGATTAGGGAGCTAATTGTGGTTAGCAACAGTTAGCATCATCTGTCACATGCCCTTTGTTCTTTTACCCCTGCCCCAGTGATGAGGAATACATGCAGAAAGAGGTGTTTAGTGATACCTCCCTTAATAGTTTTTTTGGGAGTCTATACTCTCTTAAAGATTTCATGACAACTGCTGTAGCCTAGCCAGTAGGTGATGAAGGCACAATTAAATGAGGCCAGGCTGGGTTGGATGGATTCTCCCAGGATACTGGAGATGGCAGAAAGTGTTTCTAGCAGGTGCCCCTTAGAGAGAACGTAGCATAAGCAGTGCGTACAGGGGCGCTCTTAGACCTCTGCTTGAGCTGACCCACAGTGATTGTATACTTTCAACAGAAAAAGTCTGGGGTTTGTGTCTAAAAGCTCTTACAGGTGGGCAACTTTCTCTACCACTCATACCATTTGCTTGTTGGAGAAACCATTAGGTGTCTTGTTGAGCAAGTCAAACTTATTGGACTGCTCTAAGGAGTTCTTCTGGATGAGCAAAAACATGGCGGAGAAAATAGCTATAGCTACAGATGCGGAAGTGCCATAAATGAAAGCTGAGATGAGGAGGCGAAAATGAACATGGGCTAAAATTTTTCAGTATAAATTTTCTTTAAAAAAAAAAAAAGTACATGTAAGCTAGCTAAAAACTGTCTCAGAGAACAAGGATGAATTGGAATGAGGAGGAGAGTGAATTACTAGGGAAATTAAAGGGTATTATATAAACATAAGGAACTATGTGTTGTTAACATAGCAAAGAATCAGGATGTCAAGGGTACGTGAGAGCCAGCGAAGGGAATATGATGCTGCTGTCTGATGTATTTTCCACTTGCAAAAACTATTCAGGCTTAGTAAAAATACCATTAACTTTGTTGGCTGGGGGGGAGGTATTCAAACTCTGCTCATCTTCAAGTTCAGTGTTAGTCAATTGCTCTTCATTGGTTAATTGATCTTAGGCAAGCACTAGTCCTTTTTAGTCCATTGTGTGGTCCGTTGTTGTGAAGATGTGTAGCTATTTGTCACCTCCCAGGGCTTGGGGATACATTTCAACACACTCGAGTGTTTTGACTGACAGTTCAGCATTTGACATAACAGTGTCCAAACGGACTTTTAATGAAGTGATTGTCAGTGGTATTTTCTAAAAGGGAGAAGAGTGTTGCTTAGATGCTGAAGCAGATGCTGAGCAAGCAGGACACAGGAGTTTTAGAATAGAATCACAGAATGGTTTGGGTTGGAAGGGACCTTTAAAGATCGCCCTAGTCCAACCCCCCTGCCATGGGCAGGAACATCTTTCACTAGACCAGGTTGCTCAAACCCCCATCCAATCTGACTTTGAACACTTCCAGGGATGGGGCATCCACAATTTCTCTGGGCAACTTGTTCCAGTGCCTCACCACCCTCATTGTAAAAAATTTCTTCCTTATGCTTTTGCTTCCTTTTGCTTTGGTCTTTGATAATAACAGAAGACTGTAGCAATTATGTTTGACTGTGGCAATTATGCTTGATCGTTCACTTTAGCCAAGCTGTTAATGATCTAAACACTCTTGTTTCATGCCTGCAAATAGCCCAACTGGGGTTTTAATTCTAGCTTCAGGTGGGTTTTTATGTTCTGATCTAGTCCTTTCAAACCTCTCATCTGTTTCTGAATTTTGTTCTTGCCTCCAAACAATGAGATTTAGTAGAATGTGATGAGGAAAAAGAAAAAACAAAAAGAAAAAACAAGAAGAAATTGAAGCAAGAATTTCAACCAAATAAGATAAAGCATTAGTATGCAAAAAAAGTGCAGTAAACGGTCATCATATCTCACCCTGCGTAGGTAATTCTGGATGAATAAGTAATGAGGAATATTTTCATGAACGTCATTAACAGTAGTTGAATCTCCTCCTCACTTTGGTAAATACGTAAGGATTTTTGGGAAATATTTAAATGTCCTTTACTAACATGGTTCCTCCATGTTCCTCCTGTTGAATCTTCTTCAGATTTTCACCATCCCCTTATGCTCTAATCATTTTTAGTAGTATGTGAAGGTTCAGGTTCATCTGTATTTTTCTGAGTTGTCCATACTTCGTCTCAGTCCTTCCAAGACTCAGGCCTTCCATTGAAATAATTGTTAATAAATAATTATGCTACTACTGCTTGAATTGAAGGACTATCCATCAAGTCACACAAACACTTAGTCCCCAGTGGGACTACCTGTGGAAAGAGACCTTCTCACCATCTAGGAATGGACTCTCATCTGTACTTCAGATATGAAGAGAGTATGGATACTTTCAACATATTATGTAGGCATCTAAATGCTAATGCACAGAGTATCTGTGATTCTTGAAGTCTTGTCAGCTCTTCGAACGAAACATATCCTGGCTCTGAGAATGGCAAGTATATTCATGGGAATAGCTGGGTATTCTGCATCAAAATGGGTAAAGAATGAGACTGTAGCCGGTCGATAGCAAATTTATCCACGAAATGAACTCCTTCCCTTCCATCCAATGGTATTGGCATGGAAATATCAATTAATTCTCGGCAGTCTGGAGTATTAGCCCTTCGGTGTTCACAAGCAAGAGCTCTGCTTCACGGTAAGTTGGTTGTAACATACAGGGAATGGTAAGTTTTATTCCCAGAGCAGCACAGGCACAAATGTTTCAGGATGCTTTAAGTCGATTGTCTGTTTTCCGCTGGAGGCAACGACTGCAGTTACCTGTAATGTGAAGTGTCTTTCTTGGAACTGACAGGTGGAACAGCGACATTATCTGGTTTCCAAAGCAGTGGAGGAGGTGCAGAAAATCATACAGCAACTGACCGTGGAAATCAGCGATAAGGCCACGCGATTCCAGGCTATCTCCAACTCTGGCATTCACAATGAGAATATTAAGGTATGAACAAGAGCTCTAGCATACTCTCTGGCAGCTTGTAGGCAGTCAGTAAGTGATTTTTCCATTGTATAAGTGTCTGTTTGGACACATACCTCACCCAAAACGCCACAGATGATGCATTGAAGTCACTGTGGAAGTTCTAGTGACTGTCTGGGTCACAGGGACTCACTCATGGACATCTTACAACTAGAGGAGCATCAGAGAGGGCTGGGTAAATCAGACAGAGCCTCTTTTTACAGCTGCTGCTTTTACACAGAGTCTATTGCCAGAGCTGTCAATCTGCAAGCAGAAGCCAAAGCTCTTTGGGAGACAGAAAGAAAAACTTGTACAGCAGTAACATAAGAGGAAAAAAATGCTTACGCCTTCATGAGCTATGACTCATATTTTTCACAGGTGGAAAACCTGTCAACTCACTAAAAAAAGGAAAAAAAAAATCAAAAATCCTTCTTCCGCTATGAACATTAGAAAGCTCCTTTTCAGAAAAATATGTTTTTTCTCTTGGTCACAGATTGGAACTTCTTTTTTACTGGGAAGAAATATGCTTATTGGTGGGAGAAGTTGAATGCCTCCCCATTTTAGACCATCAAACACCAAAATAATAATGTTCTATCCCAGCTGTGACAGGAGAAGACTGGTTATTTTCTGTGACTACTTAACACAAGAATAACTAGTGTAAGGATATAAGAAACAATCATAGCAATGGCAACTTCAGATGGAAATGATCTTTTTCATCTGAAGTAGTTTACATACTCTAGCTATGTCAACCCTTACACTAAAATGCAGCCAGTTACGGATCAAAACCCGGCTGCCTGCCGGGTTAAACCACAACACCACCAAACATGTAAAAGCATGAGGCAACTTTTGCAGCTGTCTAGGATTGAAAGGGGAGAACACTGTGTGTATCAAGCTGCTGAAAGGATATGGAGGTGGAGGCAGAATATAATCATCCAGTCTGAAACGTGGCTATTGCTCTGGGAACAAAAACATTCAGATTTATATCTTTTCTGGAATTTTGCGTATCCCAGGGCATCTGGCTTTGCCAGTAGGAGTGACCACACTGATGTAAGAGGGTGCCACATCCTGGTCCACGTGTTCCTTAGTGCCATAGTCTGCCATCCACCTCTCATGCTGGAACAAACCTGCTTGGCTAATGAAGTCTGACAAGATCAGGGTCAAGGTAAAATTGCTGTTCTGGAGAACAAAGCAGAACAAAACCAAGGCAGTCTATTCTGAGCAGTAATTTGGTATTACGGTAGGCTGATCTGAACAACCTCTGCTTAAGGAATCCCCAAAATTTATTTTCTTAAAAAGTAACAGATTTGTTATTCATACTTAACTGAACCCAGTGCTATAAATCTGTGATAGTCACACTAGGAGGGCCTGGGTAACTGTCCTGTAGGTATGGGGCAGCAAAGAGTGGGTTAATAATAATTTTTTTTTGGCTTGGGCTGTTCTGCTTCCAAAAAATAGAATATTTAATATTGCTGCTGACATAACTCAACATAGAGGAGACTTGTGTCAAGGGAAAGCCAATGTACTAACTATTCTGTGTTTAATTTGCAACATCTTTTTTCCTGTCAATTAAACTTACAGGAACTTTTCAGAACTTTCAGCTTCTGATTGAAAGGACTTAATTTAACATGGTGTGGAGTCTAGATTTGTTGAGAAGCTACAAGCCTCCTTCTAAATATGCAGGGCTGGGTGGGGAATATGGAAGAAAAGTCTTTAGATAGTCAATGTTTTTCTGTAACCCAGGGGACAAAAAGTCAAAATCTTTAATAAAAAACTTGAAATAAAATTCAGATGGACAAAATGGAATATTTTATTTTTAAAACTTTCAAACGTTTGTTTTTAGTTGCGGCCCACCATTTTTGCAGCTGTCAACTGTGCAGGGCTGATGCAAAGGCTGTGGAGGCTTCAGTAAGGCATAATGAGCAGGTTAGCGTCCAGGGTAATTCCTAGTACAGCACTGCCCAACAGCATTGCCAAGTGTTTAACTCTGTCATCATGGCGTGGGTGTGGAGGGGGGATTTTCCTTTAACAAATAGGCTCGAAGGAAGCTTGCAGCTTTGCCCTGTGAAGGAATGACCTGGCACATGCTTTCTCTCTGTTCTGTGTACTTCTTGTTTTCCTTTCTGCTTCTCTCAGGATCAGCCAGCTTTACTGGCCAAGTGGTCAGCTATGCTTCGGGGGAAGCGCCCATTCCACTCATCCATCCAGGTACAAAGCCTTCCTGCCACCTGGTGCCCGCCGGTCCATGTGCCTGCTTCCTCCTCGCCCACCCTCTTCTCCAGACAGCTTCACCCGCCTAACCGATCCTCCCGTGACTATTTCATCCTCTCCGCAAAAGACTTGCTTTTTTTCTCAAAATGTTTTATTTCTAACCTAATGCTTCTGCCTCCCTGGGGTATCCTGGCCAGGATCACAAGAATGAGGCTGTATTTAATTCGCCCAGCATACTGCAGGCAGGTTTTTAATATGGCAGAGTTGGCCATAAGTTACACACCCCAGAATTTGAGGCTCTTGTTCAAGCCTGTGACTTGCTGGGGCCCGTGGTCAGCATATGGCACGTAAGACCATCATGTGACAGAGCATAGGTGTGGGACTGGGATTTGTTTAGGCCAAGAGGACACCAGCTGCCCAGCTTTACAGTGCCGTCCCCAGCCTTGTGATTTCTGGTGTTTCCTGGTAAGCCCCAGGTGGAGGAGCCTTGTGACTTCTATTTGAAGGCACTCGCGTAACACCTGCAGCTCCTCTCTTTAAAATCTGTTGGGTGCCAGTGCGTACAAGTCAGAATCTTGGTATGGGAAGGAATGGTTGTTTATCTGCAAATGCGGCCGAGGCAGTGAGATGAGCAGTAACTGCATGACAGCTATTGTATTTTTTCCTTATGGAGCCTAGCAGTTCATTTCTGAGCTGCTCACAGGATTTCTCAGCCGTACCAAACCTGACTTGTGCAGGTCAGCTTGGTCTGCAATGTCATCCTTGCGGTATCCTCCTGCCTTTAGGTGATTTATATTTGACAAAAGAAGGGCTTTCTGGTGTTTCCTTTGCCATTTCTGTGCTTCTTGCTGGCCATCTTTTGTATTTCAAACCTCTTGCCAGAGAGCAGAGAAGACCAGCTGCTCCCTGTGGGAGAGGGAGCCAGGAGGTGAGCATGACAACATGGCAGCACCTGCCCCATGGTCCCCAAGCAAGGCAGACCTAGGGAGGACAGCTGGGCTCAGCTGAGAGTCTGGATTGTCAGGCAAGTCTGTGCTGATAAGGCAGGTCTGAGGTCAAGCCAGGTGCACTCATCGGGGTCAGGATCAGGCCCAATGACAGTAACCACGGTCAGATGCAGTCTATTGATTGCCAGGCAAGTCCATAGTGGCCAGGTAGGTCTGAGGTCAGGCTGGGAAGGCAGTCTGCAGGTAGGACAACAAGGTCTATGGCCAGGAGCAGGCATAGCAGTCACACAGCTGGAGACCAGCACTCCTACGACATAGCCCAGCGCTGAGCTGAAATGGGGGTCCCAGGCCCATGGGCAGAAGGTGTGGGTAGAAGCCCCAGAAAGGCTGTTCAGGGCCATCAAAGCCTGTTAGTGCCCTCAGGACCCTGGCACCTCTGCGGTAATATTTTAAATCAGCTGAGCTACCAGGAAGGCCGCCAGAATGTTTTGGATTATTACAGGAAAGTGACAAGGGCATTTCATTCACCTCGAGGTAACCACCTTGCAGCAACAGCTGTCACTTCACATCCTGCTCGTGCAGCAGCTTCACCTTATTAATCCCAATGTAAGCTAGGCTTGGTAGCAAGTGGGGTTGAAAAGCTTCTGAGTCAACACGGTAAAGTCTGAAGGAGTTTGAACACCCTCTCTGAATACCTGGAGCCACAACCACCAGATGCTTCCAAACTAGTGTTTGGAGATGTCTGGCTATGCCCTGGGCCAGTGTGAGGTTTCATGGTATTTGTGTCACCTTATTTACGCTTTGCAAATACTGGTTCAGCACTGGTTTTATTGGAAAACGGCCATTCCCCCAGTGAGGCCAATTAATAGGCTTGCAAACAATCCTATTTGAGGGTTTGTTGTCCATTGTTTACTGTTTCCATCCTTACACGGTTTCTGGCTTCCGCTCAGCAGGAGATGCAGGTTCATACAGTACAGCTGGCCAAGACCTGGGTTTATTTCTGAGAGTGCCACTGCCTATGTAGGCTCAGGTATGTCGCTTGCCTCATGTCTCTGTCTCTTAAAGGACAGTCATGCAGAGTGAAACACTTGTAAAATGAATGGGCCATAGCCTTATTTTACTAATGTCTGTAGTGGACTTTGAAAGAGATCAGAAAACTGCACTTTTTGCCATAGTTATTACTACTATTGAACTCTAGGCTTATCTCTAGTAACAATTCTGAGGTAATGACTTGCACTGTTTTGTTTCCCTTTGCTGGATCTCAAAACATGCTCTCTGATATTTTCCTGCTCCTTGGAAGCTGCTAGTTATTACATCTCCTGCAACTGCACGCTAGAAATAAAAGGAATGGGGGAAACCATGTCAGGTGTGGCGGCAAATCAGTCAGTGCACTCTTGTCTTCTATGGTCCATGGCTGTCACATCAGACTCCTTCTAAGGCAATTTCCTTTTAGTCTGCATACCTCCAAAGTAACCCTCAGACAGGCATGGAACAGGTCCTGGCTGTAATCAATTGCTCCCATCATACCATGGCTTTTCCTTCTCTCCAAAGCCCCCAGTTTTACCTATTACTTCCTTAACCCTCTTTTCCTTACTCCAGGCTCATGGATCTGCCCTTGTCTCCTCTCTCAATCTCTCTGCACTCTCCTAGGTCTTAGCACCCAGCCAATTCCTCATCACAGTCCCTCTGCGTGGCCTGACCGGGTACAGGGAATGCCAGGTACGGCACTGGCGTTATTACACCGTGCATGGAGCCAAGCTCCTCTCCTCCGTGCGGGACCCTGAGGAACTGCATCAATGGCTAGAGGTGGAGCAGTTCTCAAAAAGCCATCAGCAGTGGCATGAGACGGATGTGAACATCGAAGGTGATCTGGTTCCAGCCAAAGTCCTTATCGTCTTCCGGGAGCTGGTGGAGAAGTCGATTACCTCCTGTAACCTCTCCAGTGAGTTTAGTGGGGACAGGTATAAGGGGAACTGGCTGACTTCTGCAGCTGATAGAGGGGAAACCATCACACACACAAAGTGTTTGTTTGGTTGACATGATCAGAAGCTAAAAAGCAACAAGCCCCTCCAAAATCAGGGACCCTTTAGCCCATTTCAGTGATGCATGTAGACCTGCATTGAGGATAGAATTAGGTAGTTCTTGGCCTCTTCATACCCAAGATGTGTCTCCTTTCTTAGGAATTTGAGTAGGGTCTCCAGCAACATCACCGTCACACTTCAGCCAAGATGTAACACAGATTTTCAGGACATTTAGGAATTTGTTTAGGAAAAATCTTTTTTATACTACAGCAGCCGCAATATATCTAGACTAGCGAGGAAGATATTATAGGAAAATTGGATACAGGGAAGGTGCCTAAGTCAGAGGAGAAAGTGCTTGAAGATGTTTATAGGGCAGATAATGCTCCGGGGAAACCTTAGCTGCCCATAGCTTTCCAGCATGGGGTGGTGGGAACTAAGTAGAAGGACTTCTACTTAAGCAAGGTCTGTTGGACAAGTACTCTTTTCCCCAGCACCCAGGCTACTCCAGTCCTGTTCAGCAGAACTGGACTCAGGAAGTTTGCTTTCAGTAGTGTTGCTGATCCCTCTGTGAGCAATCCAAAGTGCCTGTTTATTTCCTGTGGCTATTTATACTGGAAGTGCTGATCATTGACATAATGCAATCAGTGGTGCATGCAACATGACTTCATAGCTGCAACATCTGTAGCAAGATGCTGCCTAAACAGTGACCCTCATGCTTAATTCTTAGCATCCTAGAGGTGTGTTATAGACTTCAGCTAATGAACACTTGGCTTGGTCCAAGCTAAATAGTCTATGTCCATCTTTTCACATTAAGATACTGTGACATGATCAGATCGAGACTGTGGCGCCTCTTCTCATAGCATGTTTCCAGGATGACGTTACTCATCAGCAGCCTGATATGGGTCTGCTGTATTCCAGAGAAATAGGAGCCATTTTCACTCATCCGATTGCAATCTTAATTTTAGTCACGGGAGAAAACATGTTAAAGTCAAGCTCAGCTAGATCATTGCATTCTTCCAGGAAATATTTGTTATCATAGAAATGGAAAGGTTGATGGGAATGAAATTTCACCATTGAGGCTCACAGAAAAGACCAGATGGAATGGGCTTGCATCTGAGGCTTTATTTATGTGAAAGTCATTGTGTTGAAGTGAAAACCTGCCATTGTGTCTAGCAGCAGTACATCAAGTTGTTGAGCCAGGAAAGGTACTTCCAAGGGACTCAGGGAGCGACATTTGGGCTTATGATTCTGATGCCTTTTTTGTAAGGTCAGCTGGGAGGAGATTGACACAGAGGAGATGAGCTAAGATGAAGTCAGGAGGAGTAATTACCATCTTTCTTTGTTTCTGTGAAGAATGAACTTCCTTCATCTCACACTACAACTAAAGTTACAAAAAAATTTCCCTAATTTCATTGTTTCCCTGGTTTTTAATTCTTTGAGCACCAGCAAAAGCAGTTTTCAAGCTGTCTCACTTTTCATTGGTGGAAAAATAGGTAGCATAATTGCAACGTTTTTGGAAATACTGTGAATGTATTTACATGCTGACACAGCAATTGCTCTAATGCTTTTCAGCTGCTAGGGATCCCTGCTGAGGGCTTGGGAGCAGTACAGTTCCTGTTTTGGTGCCAGGCTTGGCTCAGTAGGGAAATAACATGCAGATTTTACTGAGGGTTATAAAGTTCTGGTTGGTATGGACTCCGCTATTTGCAAGTTAATTCACCCCTGTGCTTCCTGGAGCAGGTGCTAAATTACCATTGGAAATAGGCAGGTATTTCCTCTGTGAGGGTAGATGATGTTCATCACTGTTCCTTCAAGTCTGTTGTGTGGGCTCCTTGTGGAATTGCTCCTTAGCCCATGCCAGTCAAAATGAGGTGGGTTAAGACACTACTATTTAACTTGCTTATGGTAATCTGTTCCGTCTTTTACTTCAGTAGGTTAGAGCATGATCACGCAATTGGCTCAAATGGCAAAGTTGAAGGGACAGTGATCCTGCCAGAGTGACAGGGAAAGCTGGGGACAGAAACTTCTTCCATGAACACAGCTGGACCAACAGGAAACATCTCACTAAGTCCGTTAGTTGCAGCTTTCATTCCTTTCTGCTCTCTTAGAGCACGTTGTTCCTGAAGATGAGCCACTCTTCTTTCACTGAGGAAACTTCTTTCCTCCAAATCACCACGGAACTAACTCTCTTTGACAGTCAGCAGTCCCAGTAAGGCAAGCAGTTAGCCCTTTTTGTATGACTGCTCTGCACAACAGGACATAAATTCTGGCACTGTCTTCTGTGCAAATGCATCTCCAGAAACAAAATTTATGGATACCCTACAAAACATTCTGAATGACCGGCAAGGGTAAGTCATTTGGTCTGATCACGGGTTCTCTGAAGGAATAAGGAGATCTTTAGATATGGAGTGTTCATCTGGTCCCCTCTAATCTGCAGTGATCTCCTTGTTGTACTGTACCATTAGAAATGTTAGGTTGCACCAGTTGTCTATCTGTATTTTTAAGAAGCTGGTCCTAGGATTTAAGAGGACCCACAGAGGAAAACAAAAGCAAGGTAACTGAGTGTAAAATTGAGAACTTAGTTGTTCCTTCATCTTCTTCCTGTCCTCATTCCCCAGGGTAGATTAAGATGATAACTTTTTTCTTGTATTCTGCTTATGGCACTGAAGAGAAAGTGTTAAGATAGAACAATAGAACTGCAGGGCCCCAGACAGCCCTTTGCTTGGCTTGTGGAAAAGGACCTTTTCCTCTTTATTATCTTCTCTTGCTGTTCTTTCACAGGTAAAGTGACGGTGCTGGAGAGCTTCAGCTCAGTGGTCCGGGTGGCTGTGGAGACGTCAGAATCCCAGGTTGAGGTGGAGCTGGTCCCTGCTGTGGAGATTCCAACTTGCTGGCCCGAGAAAGCCCGGTGGCCTCGTTGCCTTAAGCGTTGGCCTTCCCAGGAAAAAGTGCAGTGCATCAAGGTGAACCATGTAAAAAGCACTATTAACTGTGCGGGAATTTACTTCACAGGTGTCTGACAGTGCTGAAGGTGGTTTCCCAACTGAAGGACTGCATGGCAGACAACAGCATGGTTGGAAGGTGTATTCTCTAGAGAAGCGGTATTTCCAAGTATTCTGTCAGATTTTATTTGGATTTTTTTTTCCCCCTTACGGTGATGAATTCTATGGAAGAAAAACTGAGTTAACTGTTCATTGCGTAAGTCTCTCGCACACAGCTCTGCCTGTGTAGCTCAGTGCTGACATGCATCATTCTTGCTGTTCTGCTCTGCCTCATGTAAGCCTTCTGCAAATGGGCTGTTATCTTGCAGTTTTCCCTCCTGCCTAATCCCATCTTTCCTTACAAAGCTCATGTCTGGATTCTGGCAGTCCAGCTCGGCCCCAGATGCCATGTTCCTGCAGGTCCAGGTATGCCTTCCAGTCCTGCTCCCCTCTCATGCACGACCTGCTGCTCCATGGCAAAGTGCCTGCAGAGCTGTGCCTCTGCTTTAGTAGCACTGCTGGTACTGCACCTGGTGGCTCTAGAGCTGGATCTCCTGGGAGTAACTGATGTTAGCACATGAGGAACCAAAACAAATTGCACAGTCATTTGACTAGGAATTAGGATGGGAGCACGACCCATGTTTGCTGCCTCTGCTAGCCCTGTTCAGAATACACTTTGAGAGATGTCACACATCCTTTTTGTAACATCTCTCTGCATTGCTCAGAGAAGTTTGCCTCTGATCTGGTGTCACACTCCCCTTTTCTCCATAGTCGCTTGGTTTCGACCTTTTGGCCCGCTCCAATTATCACTGGCAGCTGTGCTTCTCCCGTGCTGAGCATATACTCATGGAGGGACTTGATGAAGATGGTGGTTGTCGCATGAAGTGCTTCAGGGTCTTGAGGCAGATGAAGGAGGATGTCTGGTGTGCTGGAAATAAGCCTGTCATCACAGCTTATCACCTTCAGGTAGGCATCACCGTGATACCAAGACATGGTCTCAGTATCTGTTGCAGGGGCTTCCATCCAGTAATGTCAAAATATCATGGCGTGAATCACTGTAGCGTCTATGTAACTTCTAAGGTAACTGTCAAAACTGCAGTACTGTTTCATGCTTTACAGTGGCAAGAAGTTCAGTAAATACATGTTCCAAACTTCAACAAGAAAGTAAAGCCTGTAGGAACATTATGATTGCAGCAACATAAATAATGTTAGAGTTGAGGCCCCTGCTCTGTTTTGACTTCACACAGGCATTGTAATACTGTCTTTAATTGCACAGTTACCTCCTGCTTTTTGACTATCCCAGCCACCCATATCCATCTATCTATCTGGAGGAAAATTGTGCATTTGTCTTTGTGGATGTGCACCAAACAAAATTCTCTTAGGTGAGCATTATTTCATGAATGAGGTGCAAACTGACAGTTCTGGTGTTGATTCACCTGGGGCGGGAAGGGAAGAAAGAGGTAAAGGGGTGGTAGCATCCTCCCTGCACGTACTTCAGGGTTCAAGATGGCTTCAAACAACATTTGTGAAGAAGAGACAGAAGGCTCTGCTATGACTGTGTCCCCACATCTGACAGCTGCGGACACTGATGGACCACAGGCAGCACCATTTATCAGACAGTAGAGCAATCCTGTTTTCTGGGCCTCCATCCTCCTGGAGCTGCCAGGGAGAGGCTGTTCTTCTCCTACCTTGAAGCCTCAAGCCACCAGGCTTCCACAGTAGTTACTGATCTTTTGGTGTCCAAAGCCAGATGCAATGCCAAGATTTCTCCTAAAGAAAAGGTTGCGACCATCAAATGCTGTTATAGTCATGGGGCTAATCTAAGTTAAGATAGAGTCAAAAATTGTTGACGAGGCTGGTTATAGCTTAGCAGAATGCAAGACCTCTCGGTGCCTGTAAGAACAACTTGGTGGAAAAACTGTCATAGGTAGGAGAAAGTGGAAAACCATTTAATCGTTAGTAACTATCTCTTTCTCTGGCTGAAGGAGAAGAGGTCCAGGAAGTGCTGTTGCATGGACTCTTGATCAAAATAAAAAGCTCTTTAGAAGCTCTTCAGTTCTTTACTGTGACTGTACTTCAGGCTTTTACTGCAAGAGAGGATTGGTTTACCAGACAGGAGGAATGCTTCAACATTACTTACATTTAAAAAAGAAAAAAAAGAAAAGAAAAGAAAAACAAGAGAGAGAAACAGCGGATAAACCAGCAGTTGAGCGGAGGCTTAGTGTTAGGTTTCTTCACATTATCAGGTTTCCCCTGTCAGAGGTATCCAACAATTATTATTAAACAAGACTCCACATGAAAAAGGCCCTCTATGACAGAGAAAATCCTTCCCCCAGAAGTTGTGAAAGCCTTAGAGGACTGAGTAAGCGCGCTCATTATGCTTGCCTCCATAGGAATGAAGTTCAAGATCAGGAAGTCCGAAAGACCTAGGTACATTTTGAAAGCCAACTCTATGCCTCCGGTAGACAGCTGGCAGTTAGGGATGGTTCAGTAAATGCTGGGGATATATCACCTGTTTGTCACCTGAGTGGAAGAGCAGCATTATTTTCCTTGTCTCCAGAAACTTCATTGCCACTGCTGCCTGTGGATCTTGCTGAAGTAGTTTTAGTGTGATGAAAGGTAACTGCTCTGCAAGTCTCCAAGGAGTAGCTCTTGCAGAGTTACAGCTTGAATTCCTCACTACATCTTTTGTTCCCTGGCAACATTAAAAAAAAGTCTTTGTGGTTATTGCAGCTGTGAAAAAAAATTGTTCACATTTGAAAAGCTGTCTGGGAAGAAATTTGTCAGCAATACAACTATTGCAAGGCCTACCGGAGGAAAAAACTAAACCAGGCAATCCAGAAGAGTGTGGCTTATTTTAATGAAATTCTACCTCTGAAGAAACAGAGGAGTTGAAGGCTGTAGTTCAACCACGTCTCATGGCTGCTAGTTATTACATCTCCTGCAACTGCACGCTAGAAATAAAAGGAATGGGGGAAACCATGTCAGGTGTGGCGGCAAATCAGTCAGTGCACTCTTGTCTTCTATGGTCCATGGCTGTCACATCAGACTCCTTCTAAGGCAATTTCCTTTTAGTCTGCATACCTCCAAAGTAACCCTCAGACAGGCATGGAACAGGTCCTGGCTGTAATCAATTGCTCCCATCATACCATGGCTTTTCCTTCTCTCCAAAGCCCCCAGTTTTACCTATTACTTCCTTAACCCTCTTTTCCTTACTCCAGGCTCATGGATCTGCCCTTGTCTCCTCTCTCAATCTCTCTGCACTCTCCTAGGTCTTAGCACCCAGCCAATTCCTCATCACAGTCCCTCTGCGTGGCCTGACCGGGTACAGGGAATGCCAGGTACGGCACTGGCGTTATTACACCGTGCATGGAGCCAAGCTCCTCTCCTCCGTGCGGGACCCTGAGGAACTGCATCAATGGCTAGAGGTGGAGCAGTTCTCAAAAAGCCATCAGCAGTGGCATGAGACGGATGTGAACATCGAAGGTGATCTGGTTCCAGCCAAAGTCCTTATCGTCTTCCGGGAGCTGGTGGAGAAGTCGATTACCTCCTGTAACCTCTCCAGTGAGTTTAGTGGGGACAGGTATAAGGGGAACTGGCTGACTTCTGCAGCTGATAGAGGGGAAACCATCACACACACAAAGTGTTTGTTTGGTTGACATGATCAGAAGCTAAAAAGCAACAAGCCCCTCCAAAATCAGGGACCCTTTAGCCCATTTCAGTGATGCATGTAGACCTGCATTGAGGATAGAATTAGGTAGTTCTTGGCCTCTTCATACCCAAGATGTGTCTCCTTTCTTAGGAATTTGAGTAGGGTCTCCAGCAACATCACCGTCACACTTCAGCCAAGATGTAACACAGATTTTCAGGACATTTAGGAATTTGTTTAGGAAAAATCTTTTTTATACTACAGCAGCCGCAATATATCTAGACTAGCGAGGAAGATATTATAGGAAAATTGGATACAGGGAAGGTGCCTAAGTCAGAGGAGAAAGTGCTTGAAGATGTTTATAGGGCAGATAATGCTCCGGGGAAACCTTAGCTGCCCATAGCTTTCCAGCATGGGGTGGTGGGAACTAAGTAGAAGGACTTCTACTTAAGCAAGGTCTGTTGGACAAGTACTCTTTTCCCCAGCACCCAGGCTACTCCAGTCCTGTTCAGCAGAACTGGACTCAGGAAGTTTGCTTTCAGTAGTGTTGCTGATCCCTCTGTGAGCAATCCAAAGTGCCTGTTTATTTCCTGTGGCTATTTATACTGGAAGTGCTGATCATTGACATAATGCAATCAGTGGTGCATGCAACATGACTTCATAGCTGCAACATCTGTAGCAAGATGCTGCCTAAACAGTGACCCTCATGCTTAATTCTTAGCATCCTAGAGGTGTGTTATAGACTTCAGCTAATGAACACTTGGCTTGGTCCAAGCTAAATAGTCTATGTCCATCTTTTCACATTAAGATACTGTGACATGATCAGATCGAGACTGTGGCGCCTCTTCTCATAGCATGTTTCCAGGATGACGTTACTCATCAGCAGCCTGATATGGGTCTGCTGTATTCCAGAGAAATAGGAGCCATTTTCACTCATCCGATTGCAATCTTAATTTTAGTCACGGGAGAAAACATGTTAAAGTCAAGCTCAGCTAGATCATTGCATTCTTCCAGGAAATATTTGTTATCATAGAAATGGAAAGGTTGATGGGAATGAAATTTCACCATTGAGGCTCACAGAAAAGACCAGATGGAATGGGCTTGCATCTGAGGCTTTATTTATGTGAAAGTCATTGTGTTGAAGTGAAAACCTGCCATTGTGTCTAGCAGCAGTACATCAAGTTGTTGAGCCAGGAAAGGTACTTCCAAGGGACTCAGGGAGCGACATTTGGGCTTATGATTCTGATGCCTTTTTTGTAAGGTCAGCTGGGAGGAGATTGACACAGAGGAGATGAGCTAAGATGAAGTCAGGAGGAGTAATTACCATCTTTCTTTGTTTCTGTGAAGAATGAACTTCCTTCATCTCACACTACAACTAAAGTTACAAAAAAATTTCCCTAATTTCATTGTTTCCCTGGTTTTTAATTCTTTGAGCACCAGCAAAAGCAGTTTTCAAGCTGTCTCACTTTTCATTGGTGGAAAAATAGGTAGCATAATTGCAACGTTTTTGGAAATACTGTGAATGTATTTACATGCTGACACAGCAATTGCTCTAATGCTTTTCAGCTGCTAGGGATCCCTGCTGAGGGCTTGGGAGCAGTACAGTTCCTGTTTTGGTGCCAGGCTTGGCTCAGTAGGGAAATAACATGCAGATTTTACTGAGGGTTATAAAGTTCTGGTTGGTATGGACTCCGCTATTTGCAAGTTAATTCACCCCTGTGCTTCCTGGAGCAGGTGCTAAATTACCATTGGAAATAGGCAGGTATTTCCTCTGTGAGGAACATGCAGATTACTGAGGGTTATAAAGTTCTGGTTGGTATGGACTCCGCTATTTGCAAGTTAATTCACCCCTGTGCTTCCTGGAGCAGGTGCTAAATTACCATTGGAAATAGGCAGGTATTTCCTCTGTGAGGGTAGATGATGTTCATCACTGTTCCTTCAAGTCTGTTGTGTGGGCTCCTTGTGGAATTGCTCCTTAGCCCATGCCAGTCAAAATGAGGTGGGTTAAGACACTACTATTTAACTTGCTTATGGTAATCTGTTCCGTCTTTTACTTCAGTAGGTTAGAGCATGATCACGCAATTGGCTCAAATGGCAAAGTTGAAGGGACAGTGATCCTGCCAGAGTGACAGGGAAAGCTGGGGACAGAAACTTCTTCCATGAACACAGCTGGACCAACAGGAAACATCTCACTAAGTCCATTAGTTGCAGCTTTCATTCCTTTCTGCTCTCTTAGAGCACGTTGTTCCTGAAGATGAGCCACTCTTCTTTCACTGAGGAAACTTCTTTCCTCCAAATCACCACGGAACTAACTCTCTTTGACAGTCAGCAGTCCCAGTAAGGCAAGCAGTTAGCCCTTTTTGTATGACTGCTCTGCACAACAGGACATAAATTCTGGCACTGTCTTCTGTGCAAATGCATCTCCAGAAACAAAATTTATGGATACCCTACAAAACATTCTGAATGACCGGCAAGGGTAAGTCATTTGGTCTGATCACGGGTTCTCTGAAGGAATAAGGAGATCTTTAGATATGGAGTGTTCATCTGGTCCCCTCTAATCTGCAGTGATCTCCTTGTTGTACTGTACCATTAGAAATGTTAGGTTGCACCAGTTGTCTATCTGTATTTTTAAGAAGCTGGTCCTAGGATTTAAGAGGACCCACAGAGGAAAACAAAAGCAAGGTAACTGAGTGTAAAATTGAGAACTTAGTTGTTCCTTCATCTTCTTCCTGTCCTCATTCCCCAGGGTAGATTAAGATGATAACTTTTTTCTTGTATTCTGCTTATGGCACTGAAGAGAAAGTGTTAAGATAGAACAATAGAACTGCAGGGCCCCAGACAGCCCTTTGCTTGGCTTGTGGAAAAGGACCTTTTCCTCTTTATTATCTTCTCTTGCTGTTCTTTCACAGGTAAAGTGACGGTGCTGGAGAGCTTCAGCTCAGTGGTCCGGGTGGCTGTGGAGACGTCAGAATCCCAGGTTGAGGTGGAGCTGGTCCCTGCTGTGGAGATTCCAACTTGCTGGCCCGAGAAAGCCCGGTGGCCTCGTTGCCTTAAGCGTTGGCCTTCCCAGGAAAAAGTGCAGTGCATCAAGGTGAACCATGTAAAAAGCACTATTAACTGTGCGGGAATTTACTTCACAGGTGTCTGACAGTGCTGAAGGTGGTTTCCCAACTGAAGGACTGCATGGCAGACAACAGCATGGTTGGAAGGTGTATTCTCTAGAGAAGCGGTATTTCCAAGTATTCTGTCAGATTTTATTTGGATTTTTTTTTCCCCCTTACGGTGATGAATTCTATGGAAGAAAAACTGAGTTAACTGTTCATTGCGTAAGTCTCTCGCACACAGCTCTGCCTGTGTAGCTCAGTGCTGACATGCATCATTCTTGCTGTTCTGCTCTGCCTCATGTAAGCCTTCTGCAAATGGGCTGTTATCTTGCAGTTTTCCCTCCTGCCTAATCCCATCTTTCCTTACAAAGCTCATGTCTGGATTCTGGCAGTCCAGCTCGGCCCCAGATGCCATGTTCCTGCAGGTCCAGGTATGCCTTCCAGTCCTGCTCCCCTCTCATGCACGACCTGCTGCTCCATGGCAAAGTGCCTGCAGAGCTGTGCCTCTGCTTTAGTAGCACTGCTGGTACTGCACCTGGTGGCTCTAGAGCTGGATCTCCTGGGAGTAACTGATGTTAGCACATGAGGAACCAAAACAAATTGCACAGTCATTTGACTAGGAATTAGGATGGGAGCACGACCCATGTTTGCTGCCTCTGCTAGCCCTGTTCAGAATACACTTTGAGAGATGTCACACATCCTTTTTGTAACATCTCTCTGCATTGCTCAGAGAAGTTTGCCTCTGATCTGGTGTCACACTCCCCTTTTCTCCATAGTCGCTTGGTTTCGACCTTTTGGCCCGCTCCAATTATCACTGGCAGCTGTGCTTCTCCCGTGCTGAGCATATACTCATGGAGGGACTTGATGAAGATGGTGGTTGTCGCATGAAGTGCTTCAGGGTCTTGAGGCAGATGAAGGAGGATGTCTGGTGTGCTGGAAATAAGCCTGTCATCACAGCTTATCACCTTCAGGTAGGCATCACCGTGATACCAAGACATGGTCTCAGTATCTGTTGCAGGGGCTTCCATCCAGTAATGTCAAAATATCATGGCGTGAATCACTGTAGCGTCTATGTAACTTCTAAGGTAACTGTCAAAACTGCAGTACTGTTTCATGCTTTACAGTGGCAAGAAGTTCAGTAAATACATGTTCCAAACTTCAACAAGAAAGTAAAGCCTGTAGGAACATTATGATTGCAGCAACATAAATAATGTTAGAGTTGAGGCCCCTGCTCTGTTTTGACTTCACACAGGCATTGTAATACTGTCTTTAATTGCACAGTTACCTCCTGCTTTTTGACTATCCCAGCCACCCATATCCATCTATCTATCTGGAGGAAAATTGTGCATTTGTCTTTGTGGATGTGCACCAAACAAAATTCTCTTAGGTGAGCATTATTTCATGAATGAGGTGCAAACTGACAGTTCTGGTGTTGATTCACCTGGGGCGGGAAGAAAGAGGTAAAGGGGTGGTAGCATCCTCCCTGCACGTACTTCAGGGTTCAAGATGGCTTCAAACAACATTTGTGAAGAAGAGACAGAAGGCTCTGCTATGACTGTGTCCCCACATCTGACAGCTGCGGACACTGATGGACCACAGGCAGCACCATTTATCAGACAGTAGAGCAATCCTGTTTTCTGGGCCTCCATCCTCCTGGAGCTGCCAGGGAGAGGCTGTTCTTCTCCTACCTTGAAGCCTCAAGCCACCAGGCTTCCACAGTAGTTACTGATCTTTTGGTGTCCAAAGCCAGATGCAATGCCAAGATTTCTCCTAAAGAAAAGGTTGCGACCATCAAATGCTGTTATAGTCATGGGGCTAATCTAAGTTAAGATAGAGTCAAAAATTGTTGACGAGGCTGGTTATAGCTTAGCAGAATGCAAGACCTCTCGGTGCCTGTAAGAACAACTTGGTGGAAAAACTGTCATAGGTAGGAGAAAGTGGAAAACCATTTAATCGTTAGTAACTATCTCTTTCTCTGGCTGAAGGAGAAGAGGTCCAGGAAGTGCTGTTGCATGGACTCTTGATCAAAATAAAAAGCTCTTTAGAAGCTCTTCAGTTCTTTACTGTGACTGTACTTCAGGCTTTTACTGCAAGAGAGGATTGGTTTACCAGACAGGAGGAATGCTTCAACATTACTTACATTTAAAAAAGAAAAAAAAGAAAAGAAAAGAAAAACAAGAGAGAGAAACAGCGGATAAACCAGCAGTTGAGCGGAGGCTTAGTGTTAGGTTTCTTCACATTATCAGGTTTCCCCTGTCAGAGGTATCCAACAATTATTATTAAACAAGACTCCACATGAAAAAGGCCCTCTATGACAGAGAAAATCCTTCCCCCAGAAGTTGTGAAAGCCTTAGAGGACTGAGTAAGCGCGCTCATTATGCTTGCCTCCATAGGAATGAAGTTCAAGATCAGGAAGTCCGAAAGACCTAGGTACATTTTGAAAGCCAACTCTATGCCTCCGGTAGACAGCTGGCAGTTAGGGATGGTTCAGTAAATGCTGGGGATATATCACCTGTTTGTCACCTGAGTGGAAGAGCAGCATTATTTTCCTTGTCTCCAGAAACTTCATTGCCACTGCTGCCTGTGGATCTTGCTGAAGTAGTTTTAGTGTGATGAAAGGTAACTGCTCTGCAAGTCTCCAAGGAGTAGCTCTTGCAGAGTTACAGCTTGAATTCCTCACTACATCTTTTGTTCCCTGGCAACATTAAAAAAAAGTCTTTGTGGTTATTGCAGCTGTGAAAAAAAATTGTTCACATTTGAAAAGCTGTCTGGGAAGAAATTTGTCAGCAATACAACTATTGCAAGGCCTACCGGAGGAAAAAACTAAACCAGGCAATCCAGAAGAGTGTGGCTTATTTTAATGAAATTCTACCTCTGAAGAAACAGAGGAGTTGAAGGCTGTAGTTCAACCACATCTCATGGCGTCTGTGGATCTCTTTTTGGGTCACTGAATCTGCAAAATAAAATTGGGATTCAGAGGACAGTAAGGAACTTAGTAGAATTATTGAACCCAAGATGGGTGACTGTACTTTAAAAACTGATTTCAGGTTGACCAAGGCAGTCGGTATGGCTTTTTTGGTACAGTAAGTGTAAGTACCTCAAGAAAATTCTCAGTCATAGGAAAGTCTGAAAAATGCAACACGAGCAGTGTAAAAATAATACTATAAGAGCAATAATCATATGCATTTTGTTATTTTAACTATGGATTTCTTGAATGTAAAATCACATAAAATAAACTTGGGGGAATAGAACATAGCACATGCTGTAAGTATCAAGTGTCAGAAAAAAACAGGCTGCACTTGACCAGAAAGCATGCCCTGCACCTGCAATAGTTGCTTGGAATCTCAGTCTGTTTGGGATGCAGATCTGTGCACATCTTCAGCACAAATACAGCTGAAGCTAACAAATAATTATGTTAATCTGATTATTCTTCTCTCCCTCCTTGCACCTACTGGCTTCTACGCTTTTATAATAGGCCGTTTTCTACAGCCTAAAATGCCTGGCATTTCTACAGAGGCTCCTGTTGGAGGATGGCAAAGAGGCTAAGATTATTTTACCAAGACCATTTTCCTTGGGCTCCTGGCCCAGTCAATGGAGAAGGGCTCCTCTGGGAAGAGATCCTAACAGGGCACATCAGAGTTGCTCCGCCTGATCCCCAGAGGAGGCTTTAGTTGTGATCCCTCTGTCGCAGAAATGTTAACACAGGGAGATAGCAGTGCGAGTGTCTCTGATTTCCAAGGCTGTCAGACATTTACCAGTACTAAAACTGCCTTAGGAAGCTGTGTGAGCCCTTGACAGAACCTCTAACACCTCTTCTCTCCCATCTGCTTCTTGCAGACAGTGCTATTCTGGACGTGTGAAAAATACCCACGCACCAAGGATTGGCGCTGCTTCCCCGAAGCCTTTCTGAGGCTGGTGCAGAAGCTGCACAAGTGTGTAAGCCAGCACTTCCTCAAGCATTACTTTGTCAAGAACACCAATCTGCTCAAATACACCAATACCAGTGACCTGGACCTGGTGGCCAGGAAGCTCGCAGTCTTCTTGGAGAACCCTGTCTTCTGCCTGGACTAAGGCAGGAAAAGGCCTCCTCACCCCAACCCTGAGCTGATCCCCCACCTCCTCTCCCCGCCTGTGGTTGTTCTTCGTGTCCTTCCAGTAGATGTTGCAGCTGGCTTTGTAAAACAGTTGGCACATGCAGTGTGAAAGAGAAGTGTCAAGCTGGCAGCAGTGGGCGGTGAAAACTGATGGGAGGTATCGCTTGATGCCCAGCTGATCTAATTTGCTTTCAGCAGTGACAGCCTGCCTGGAAGCTACAGCCAGTGAAACCCAACTTTCTCTGTCAGTCAGACCAGGCAACTGCCTTGTTCTCTGTCTCTAGTCTTGTGGCACCTAAGCAGAAAGATGGTGCAAAGACATCTCACTCTGCTGCCTACCAGCTGTGTAACCTAGCACATATATTGTTGCTGCGTCCCCCTTTCTCACAAGGTCAGCGGGTTTAATTTCCTGCTTACCTCACAGGCCAGCTCTGCAGAAGAGCAGAGGAACATTTCTGAAGTGTACTGAAGCTGGAAGCTTTCTCAGAGGCACTTCGATGCCTCCATCTCCAATTAAATGGGATCCTGCTCCAGTATGAAGATAACCATGCTGCTAGTGTTGAATAGCTCAAGGGAAGCAAGTGGAGGAACGGTGGTTTTTGCCTCCTCCTCATTTTTCTCTCCTCCACTTCCATTTTTCTTCCAGTTGCTTCAAATATGTTTTCTTCATGTTTGCCTTTGCCAGTTGTGTAAGTGCCATACAACCAGGGGGCTTTGCCAGAGCAGATTTCGCTCCCACCCCTGGCTCCATCCAGCAGGCTGGAGGAGGCGCAGGTCTTTCCCTAGTTGTTAGCACCCACATATTTCTGGGTGGTGTACAGAAGGAGAATATTTTTCAAAGGCTGTTAGCTTCAAAACCCCCAGTGCTTTTAACATTATGGAAGTTTAAAAAGAAAATCAGTTTTAGTGTTTCAAAAGAACAGAGTTCTAGAATGAGTATAAAGAATGTTGGTCTTAATGTTATTAAATCACTGAAACTAAACCAAAGTGGGCTTTTTTTTTTTCCTTACATCTGCGCAGGAAAGTATCTCCTTTGCCAAGGGAGGTGACACAGATAGGATTTGCAGCCCATACTCCAGGGAGCTGCTGTAGTGGATGGCCTGCAAATGACCATCCATGGCAGAGCATCTCCCCCTTGTGTCAAATTGTGGCCTAACCATGCATCTTTAGCACAGACTCTGCTTTCTGGCTTGATTTTGTATGCAGGAGTATGTTCACAAGTCCATGGGGCTTGATGGGATTCACCCCAGGGTACTGAAGGAGCTAGCTGATGTTACAGCAGGACCTCTCTCGATCATCTACCAAAGGTCTTTGGAGTCTGGGGAGGTCCCTGCTGACTGGAAGCTAGCCAATGTTATTCCCATCTACCAAAAGGGCGTGAGGAAAGAACCCAGGGAACTACAGACCTGTTAGTCTAACCGCAGTTCCTGGAAAAATTATGGAGAAGGTCAGACTGGGTACTACTGAAAGACATTTAAAGAATAATGCAATCATCAGGCACAGTCAACATGGGTTCACAAAGGGAAAGTCCTGTTTAACCAATTTGATATCCTTCTACGATAAGGTCACCTGCCTAGTGGATGAAGGGAAGGTGGTGGATGTAGTTTTTCTGGATTTTACTAAGGTTTTGATAGTGTCCCTCACAGCATCCTTCTGGACAAGTTGTCCAGCTGTGGGATGAACGGGTTCATGGTGTGCTGGGTGAAGAACTGGCTGAAGGGCAGAGCTCAAAGAGTTGTAGTGAATGGGGCTACATCTGGCTGGCGACCAGTCACCAGCAGTGTTCCTCAGGGTTCA